AAATAGAAGAAATGAATCTGCTTTCTGGTTTCCATGTTTATCACAAAATAAACTGTTTCGGAGCTTTACAGAATTGTGCACACCATTATATTATTATACAGTGTACTTGAAAACTAGCATTGTCGTTTATTCTTTTTTCTTTTTCTGTTTAAATGCGCGAAGTGACTCTTAGATGAAGCACAGGTAAAGATGTTTACTTATTTGGAATAATTCAAATATCACGTTAGCATACAAGTGTAGAATAGTGGTGTCTCACGGGAATAGTTAATGGAAGGAAATGATTGCCTATACAAGATAAAATCAAGTACTTTATGAGTATTGTGTATTGTAAGGATTGCATTATGGTCAATATAGTTATTTCTGTTGTAGAAGTATATTGGTTCTCTGTCTTCTGTAAATAAATTAAAAAATGATAATTAAATTTTAATTAATTTAAGGTATATGGATGTGATGAAAGTAAGCTTTTTCTAGATTTCAGTAGTTATCGGAAGTATTAAGTATAGAAAAACCGGGTTGGGCTGAAAAAGGATGAGAAAGGTTAATACTGCGTGTAATGAGAAAGGTTATCCTCGAACAAACCTCTCCTTTCATTCTTCCTCCTACTTCTTGCCTAACCTAATAATTTAACACCAATTCTGGATTGTATCATTGAGTAAGTGATAACATACCTTCTAGTCCTGATTATTTTTGGGTCTTGTAGTTTTTTGATCAAGTAGAATAGAATTTTTGACCACTTAAGTTAACAAAAAACCAAGGCCCAATGTTCACCCAAGTAGATGTCCAACAAACTAGTTTTCATTTCAATTTTAATTTAGATTTATACGAGGGAAATTCTTGCAAACGAAAGTTTTGATTGATAAAAATTTACTATATTCTCTAAATCTTTGAGAATTGATGAGCTAAGGTCAAGTCTTAGTTTTTTAGTGGTCTTAGTAAAGCTTGATGATTGAGAATTTCAGAATTTAATTACACATGCCCTCTTCTGTTTCGTCGTTCAATTTTTGACTTTTGGATTCACTCTAAATGATATGTCCAAAAACTTGAGAACTTTACATAAATTTTTGGAGTTATTTAATATTGGATGGTTAAATGAAATAGGAAAGTGATTTAGTAATAACTTATATATATATATATATATATATATAATTTTGTTAAAATCAAAATAAATAAATTGTGTCTCTGCATTTACAGCTTTTTGAATCGAGATATATTGCCTTCTTGGATATAAGTTCAATAAAATTTTGGAGATAAACTAGCTTAAACAAAATATAAGGTGAATATTGAGAGGATATTATTTCAAGTTATTTCTGATATATAGGTATATGTAGGACTATCACATCTTTATTCTTGAAATAAAAATTTCATATGGGACTGAATAAATTTGTTAATGTATTTAATAATTGTAATGTATTAAAGCTAAAGATCTTATTATTAGAGTAGTTACCCATTATGTAATTTAACTTCATAAGTCTAACATTATTATTGAGTTATGAAAAATTTATGACATTTGAGATTTTATCAATGACCTCGTAGAAAACGTATAGATTTTTTTCTTATTAATGTTAAGGATTGAGGTATACACATTATTAAATAAAATGTTTAATTATCGAGAACAAAATTTATTATTAATAATAAGAGTTTATCGGTAATTTAAGTTTATCAATAAATTTACTGATAAATTCATTATTGATACATCTATCATCATGAATTTATCGATAATTGGTAAATTCATCTATAACTAACAATGGTCACAAATAATGGTAAATATTTATCGATGATTTTGTCCATTGACAAATATTACGATTAGATATATTTTTTTCTTGTTTTTTTTCTTTTTCCTTTTTTTTTTCTTCTTCTTCCACCTCGATCACGGTTGTGTTTCCATTCTCATCATCCTCACTTCAATTGCCTCCGAGTCCTCCTCCTTTTCTCCTCTCTTTCTATTTTTATTCATCTTCCTTTTATAAATTTTAATTTTTAAACGGAAGTTATCAATGAATTTTATTGACAACTTTATTAAGAATAAATGTTTATATTGATAATTAAAAGTTTAGTATATGCCAATAAAATCAATAAGAAACTTTGGTTTCATTCACAAAATTATTTTCATAAATAAAATTGTCATCAATTACAAATTTCCTTGTAGTATATATATAATGTAGGTGTGTGCATTGTAGTATATATATAATGTAGGTGTGTGCATGGAAATGATTTTGAGGAGATTATATTAATTATTTGTTCTTGTATTATTTATTTTACCATATTAACGATGGGATTGTTACAGTTCTTCCACAATGAAATTTTGTTTCAGATAGTATTAAATATACAAGAAACTAGTTTCTGTCAATGAATATAACTTTATTTGTCTTATTATGTAGTCATGTTCTACTTTGAGCTATATATGTAATTTATGTGTTTTAGTTCAAATCAAAAAGCATATACAAAAGATGAGAATGAATATTTATCTACATTTTTTTATTGTATAAAATACAGGTTTTTATCCTATTTTTTTGAAGTTATGACATGCAATTCTTCATTTTCTTTTTCGTCCTAATGCAGGTTTTATCTTCATAAAAAAAAGTAAATATGATAACTTTCATTAAATTGATATTAATATTTTTTTTAAGAGTAATGATATGACTTAAATGACACATTCCAGACACCTTAATGTCAAGTTAGATAATCCTAACCACACGACATTATTTACCCTGTCCATCACGTCATCATTTTATAAATAATATCAACTCCAATTTAATAAAAAGATATCATATTGATTTTTTTTTAAAAAATAATATTATATTAAGCCAACAAGATTAAATTATTGCATTGAATTATTTCGACAAAGTTTTTTTGAGTCAAAACAGCTATTAAACCTAAAATCTAATAGTTCTATACAAAGTAACAATAAATAAATAAATTTAACAGATAAACTTGTCAAAATAAACATTGAATGTCATATTTAGGAATAGGAAAATGATACTTGAACAATCATTTTTAACAACATTTAGACACGCGCACACGTGTCTAAATTTGAGTGATCCAGTTGAAAAAATTAAATGAAAATGGACCACTCAAATTTAGACACGTGTGCGCGTGTCTAAATGTTGTCAAAAATGGTTGTTCAAGTGTCATTTTCCTTAGGAATATATGATTTCAGAAACAACACCATTAGTATATACAGAGATTGAAATATTGTTTTTGCACTGCGTTTATCTATTGAGTTAGAACTTCAACTCGCAACATTTCTCCATCTTGATCTGTCTTTTTTTTTTTTGTTAGAAGTATCAAAAGGGTCAATTATACCTATTGAATTATCTATATATATATATATATATATATATAGCTAAACCCACTGAACAAGACGAGTTAGTTCTTGTATGGTAAATTCGATCCAATGCATTGCCTCCCTTTTAGATTTTAGCTTTAATCTACTTTGGTCAACCACTACTTTTTATTGACATGCATATCCCAATATCTATCAAATCCTTCAATAGTATGCCCTATGTTGTCATTCTAGCTTAGACTCATAAAAGTTTAATGGTCTCATCAATCCTGCTACAGCTAATCACCCTTAAGTTTCGTGTTGCACATGCTTTATACATACTGGCCCAGACTTCCCTGCTTAATTATTGAAAGACCAAACAAAACAATTATTAAGCATTTAGTTTTGATATTCTAATACTCCTTCACACCATTAGTCAATGTCTCTTCTGAAAAACCCAAATTTTACTTCACCTTCTCAGTTTTAAATCTAACATATCAGAATAAGAGAGAAGTTTACAAGATTGACCAAATATGCAAATGTACGAAAATAATTTGTAATACCAATCAATTTGGCATTATACATAAACCATTTTTCTCTAATAAGAAAACATAAAAGCAAAGTCGGAATTTCTGATCTCATATCTAGGAAAATAACAGAATATAAAGGGAAAACTTTGTAACAGCCTTAATTAATTATATGAAGATAACTTCATTCCGAAGAATTGTAACAACCTGTTCCCTACCTAAACCTTAGAAACAAAAGTGGTTGGTGATGACTCTAGCTTTAAACAACTTTAATTCAATTAGATGCTCTTAAAGGAAAGGTTTTCTTTTTACTCATTTACTCCAATCATTACTAAATTATGTTTTCTCTATTTGATTAATAATTTTCTTCCAGACAAACCTTCTCTGTTTCTAGCTTTCAATATCCAATTTACCCTTAAATTTTTATAATCAAGTCAAAGTCATTTTTATTCCCTTAATTCAGCAACTATCACGAATTTGATATTCTATTTACACCTCAATCTACTACACGGCATTGACAACTATAAACGATTATGTAGTGGAATGAGAATGTGGGTGGCTATTAGAAATTTCGTGTCACTCCAGAATAACGTTTATGAACACAGCTAATCAACTAGCTACAATAGAGGAATATAAGTGCTTCCTCAGCTTGGGACTGGAGCTAATTTAGTTGGGAAACGCTTAGTTGTCGAATTATATTGTATTATCAAACAGGCCCAACGAAATTTCATAAGGGAGCAATAGTGTCCACGTTTCTTTCATGTTACAATTATTGATTATTGATGTGAAAAAAAAGTGTTAGAAGCTGACTTTGATCAATTGCTTAAACCAATAAATATTATTTTATCTATAATTGGCGAATGCTTAGTTGCCAACTACGCTTCTCGCGCAAAAAATTATGCGGCAACTTGAACTTGATGCCGGTTTGACAACATCGCATGTTAAAACTCATCATTGATGAACCACATGACTGATAAAAATATTGAAGAAAGAAAAAGAATGTAGTAAAGTGAAACAAAGTTGTTGGTGAAATTGTTCCCTTCTCATTCTCATTCTCATTCTCCGTGTTTGTCATATTCGTCCAAATTCATTACAAATGAATAATTATGGATATACACCATTTTTTGGAGTTACCTTTGGTCAAGATAGGCAACTGAGAGAAGGGGAAGTAGGAAGGAATGATGATTTATATGTTAATTAGTTGTTGGGGATTTGAATGGAGCCCGATTCTGGCCATGTGGAGGAAAACATGAGTTTACAAAAAGAGTGCTTTCGAAAGTTCACAAGGCCAGCTAGGGACTCTCTTAATTTAAAGAATCAAAATCAAAATGAAACCAATTGAATAATTTGAGGTCTCTCATCACAGCTCCCTTTTAACGACTCACTCTCACTATAAATATTTCATGCATGCAGCTTTTCTCAACACTCACTAACACCAAACCTCTTCCCTCTCCTCTCTGCACTCCCAACAACAATATCTATCATTGAGGATCTCAGCAGCATTGGGCAGAGGTGATAAGTTTTTTTCTTCTACACATGACTGCTAGGGGCACCGACCCCAAAAGGGGTCGTCTTTGGCCACACATGATCATGGCAATGGCCATTGCTTTGATTTCTACTACTGTAGTTTCTGTCCATGCTGATGGTTACCCTTCCTATTCTTCACCACCACCACCTCCTCCAACTTATGAATACAAGTCACCACCTCCACCTTCACCATCACCTCCTCCTCCTTATGAGTACAAGTCACCACCTCCTCCATCATCATCACCACCACCTCCTTATGAGTACAAGTCACCTCCCCCTCCTTCCCCATCACCACCACCTCCCTACTATTACAAGTCTCCTCCACCACCTTCTCCATCGCCTCCTCCTCCATACTACTACAAGTCTCCTCCTCCACCCTCTCCCTCCCCGCCTCCTCCATACTACTATAAGTCCCCTCCTCCACCCTCTCCCTCACCACCTCCTCCATACTATTACAAGTCTCCTCCACCACCCTCTCCCTCACCACCTCCTCCATACTACTACAAGTCTCCTCCACCACCCTCTCCCTCTCCACCTCCTCCATACTACTACAAGTCCCCTCCACCACCCTCTCCCTCCCCACCTCCTCCATACTATTACAAGTCCCCTCCACCACCCTCTCCCTCACCACCTCCTCCATACTACTACAAGTCCCCTCCACCACCCTCTCCCTCACCACCTCCTCCATACTACTACAAGTCCCCTCCNTTTGGCATTATACATAAACCATTTTTCTCTAATAAGAAAACATAAAAGCAAAGTCGGAATTTCTGATCTCATATCTAGGAAAATAACAGAATATAAAGGGAAAACTTTGTAACAGCCTTAATTAATTATATGAAGATAACTTCATTCCGAAGAATTGTAACAACCTGTTCCCTACCTAAACCTTAGAAACAAAAGTGGTTGGTGATGACTCTAGCTTTAAACAACTTTAATTCAATTAGATGCTCTTAAAGGAAAGGTTTTCTTTTTACTCATTTACTCCAATCATTACTAAATTATGTTTTCTCTATTTGATTAATAATTTTCTTCCAGACAAACCTTCTCTGTTTCTAGCTTTCAATATCCAATTTACCCTTAAATTTTTATAATCAAGTCAAAGTCATTTTTATTCCCTTAATTCAGCAACTATCACGAATTTGATATTCTATTTACACCTCAATCTACTACACGGCATTGACAACTATAAACGATTATGTAGTGGAATGAGAATGTGGGTGGCTATTAGAAATTTCGTGTCACTCCAGAATAACGTTTATGAACACAGCTAATCAACTAGCTACAATAGAGGAATATAAGTGCTTCCTCAGCTTGGGACTGGAGCTAATTTAGTTGGGAAACGCTTAGTTGTCGAATTATATTGTATTATCAAACAGGCCCAACGAAATTTCATAAGGGAGCAATAGTGTCCACGTTTCTTTCATGTTACAATTATTGATTATTGATGTGAAAAAAAAGTGTTAGAAGCTGACTTTGATCAATTGCTTAAACCAATAAATATTATTTTATCTATAATTGGCGAATGCTTAGTTGCCAACTACGCTTCTCGCGCAAAAAATTATGCGGCAACTTGAACTTGATGCCGGTTTGACAACATCGCATGTTAAAACTCATCATTGATGAACCACATGACTGATAAAAATATTGAAGAAAGAAAAAGAATGTAGTAAAGTGAAACAAAGTTGTTGGTGAAATTGTTCCCTTCTCATTCTCATTCTCATTCTCCGTGTTTGTCATATTCGTCCAAATTCATTACAAATGAATAATTATGGATATACACCATTTTTTGGAGTTACCTTTGGTCAAGATAGGCAACTGAGAGAAGGGGAAGTAGGAAGGAATGATGATTTATATGTTAATTAGTTGTTGGGGATTTGAATGGAGCCCGATTCTGGCCATGTGGAGGAAAACATGAGTTTACAAAAAGAGTGCTTTCGAAAGTTCACAAGGCCAGCTAGGGACTCTCTTAATTTAAAGAATCAAAATCAAAATGAAACCAATTGAATAATTTGAGGTCTCTCATCACAGCTCCCTTTTAACGACTCACTCTCACTATAAATATTTCATGCATGCAGCTTTTCTCAACACTCACTAACACCAAACCTCTTCCCTCTCCTCTCTGCACTCCCAACAACAATATCTATCATTGAGGATCTCAGCAGCATTGGGCAGAGGTGATAAGTTTTTTTCTTCTACACATGACTGCTAGGGGCACCGACCCCAAAAGGGGTCGTCTTTGGCCACACATGATCATGGCAATGGCCATTGCTTTGATTTCGACTACTGTAGTTTCTGTCCATGCTGATGGTTACCCTTCCTATTCTTCACCACCACCACCTCCTCCAACTTATGAATACAAGTCACCACCTCCACCTTCACCATCACCTCCTCCTCCTTATGAGTACAAGTCACCACCTCCTCCATCATCATCACCACCACCTCCTTATGAGTACAAGTCACCTCCCCCTCCTTCCCCATCACCACCACCTCCCTACTATTACAAGTCTCCTCCACCACCTTCTCCATCGCCTCCTCCTCCATACTACTACAAGTCTCCTCCTCCACCCTCTCCCTCCCCGCCTCCTCCATACTACTATAAGTCCCCTCCTCCACCCTCTCCCTCACCACCTCCTCCATACTATTACAAGTCTCCTCCACCACCCTCTCCCTCACCACCTCCTCCATACTACTACAAGTCTCCTCCACCACCCTCTCCCTCTCCACCTCCTCCATACTACTACAAGTCCCCTCCACCACCCTCTCCCTCACCACCTCCTCCATACTACTACAAGTCCCCTCCACCACCCTCTCCCTCACCACCTCCTCCATACTACTACAAGTCCCCTCCACCACCCTCTCCCTCACCACCTCCTCCATACTACTACAAGTCCCCTCCACCACCCTCTCCCTCACCACCTCCTCCATACTACTACAAGTCCCCTCCTCCACCCTCTCCCTCACCACCTCCTCCATACTACTACAAGTCCCCTCCTCCACCCTCTCCCTCACCGCCTCCTCCTTACTATTACAACTCCCCACCACCACCTTCACCACCTCCTCCACCACCCTACTATTACAAGTCTCCACCTCCGCCTGAAAAGTCTCCATCTCCAACTCCATATTACTACAAATCTCCTCCACCACCATCTCCAACTCCTTACTACTACAATTCTCCACCACCTCCATACTATTATAACTCTCCTCCTCCACCAGTTGTATATCCCCCACACCCGTACCCACATCATTACCACCACGCATTGATTGTTAAGGTAGTAGGTAAAGTTTACAGCTATAAGTGCTATGACTGGAACCATCCCGAGAAGTCCCATAACAAGAAACACCTCAAAGGTACATCATATTCATTTCATTATCTTTTTGTTTAGATATATAGTTTTGTTATGGCTAGAAAATATGACTAATCAAGAAAAAAATTTATATACTCAACATCTTACTAGCACATTTTTTTGTCATTTTACACTTAAAAGAGAATATTGATTATTACATTTTTAATACCTTAAAATGTTTGTCCATTTATATGTCAATTATTATATTCTTAATCCTATTTTATCTTAGTTAAAATCTTAAATGTTTTAAAAATAAAAAACTAATAATGGTAGATAATTTATTAAAAAATTTAAAATAAATAAAGATTTTAATTGAAATTCTTATTTTGTGTCATCTCCAAAGTTGTATACATAAAAAGAAGAAAATAAGCAATAATATATAATTTGATTAGAAGAGGCTAAAACCTATATATAATTAATAGATAAAGAAAACAGTTGAATTGAGAGAAAGGTAATTATCATAATATTATAATGTTGACCAATATAGTGTACTTTCTTATAAGAATAGTTTAATTTATTAACATGTACAAGTATGTTTATGTGTGGTAATTAATCGTTTTGTGGGGGAATGTAGGTGCTGTTGTGGAGGTCGAATGCAAAGCAGGGTCGAAAGTGATCAAGGCCTATGGTGAAACTAAGAGCAATGGAAAGTACAGTATCACAGTTAAGGATTTTGACTATGTCAAGTATGGACCCACAGTGTGCAAGGCCAAGCTTTATGCTCCACCTAAACACTCCCCCTTCAACACACCTACTCAATTCAACGAAGAAACCAAGTTGAAGGTGAAATCTAAGGACAAGTATGAAGTGGTGCTTAAGGCTAAGCCATTTGCTTATGCTTCAAAGAAGTATTTTAAAGAATGTGAAAAGCCTTCACCCACTCCTTACTACTATAAGTCACCTCCTCCTCCAACTCCCGTTTACAAATACAACTCTCCACCTCCACCATCACCAAAACCTACACCATCATACTACTATAAATCACCACCCCCACCTTCACCATCCCCTCCTCCTCCATACTATTACAAGTCACCTCCACCACCATCTCCATCACCACCACCTCCTTATTATTACAAATCCCCTCCACCACCATCCCCATCACCACCACCTCCTTACTATTACAAATCCCCACCACAAGCATCCCCATCACCACCACCTCCATACTACTACAAGTCCCCTCCACCTCCATCTCCATCTCCACCACCTCCCTATTACTATAAATCACCTCCACCACCATCTCCATCACCACCACCTCCTTACTATTACAAATCTCCTCCACCACCATCCCCATCACCACCACCTCCATACTACTACAAATCCCCACCGCCACCATCCCCATCACCACCTCCTCCATACTACTACACATCCCCTCCACCTCCTTCTCCATCTCCACCACCTCCCTATTACTATAAATCACCTCCACCACCATCTCCATCACCGCCACCTCCTTACTATTACAAATCTCCTCCACCACCATCCCCATCACCACCACCTCCATACTACTACAAATCACCACCACCACCATCTCCATCACCACCACCTCCATACTACTACAAATCCCCGCCACCACCATCCCCATCACCACCACCTCCATACTACTACAAATCCCCTCCACCTCCCTCTCCATCTCCACCACCTCCCTATTACTATAAATCACCTCCACCACCATCTCCATCACCACCACCTCCTTACTATTACAAATCTCCTCCACCACCATCCCCATCACCACCACCTCCATACTACTACAAATCCCCACCACCACCATCCCCATCACCACCTCCTCCATACTACTACACATCCCCTCCACCTCCTTCTCCATCTCCACCACCTCCCTATTACTATAAATCACCTCCACCACCATCTCCATCACCGCCACCTCCTTACTATTACAAATCTCCTCCACCACCATCCCCATCACCACCACCTCCATACTACTACAAATCACCACCACCACCATCTCCATCACCACCACCTCCATACTACTACAAATCCCCGCCACCACCATCCCCATCACCACCACCTCCATACTACTACAAATCCCCTCCACCTCCCTCTCCATCTCCACCACCTCCCTATTACTATAAATCACCTCCACCACCATCTCCATCACCGCCACCTCCTTACTATTACAAATCTCCTCCACCACCATCCCCATCACCACCACCTCCATACTACTACAAATCCCCACCGCCACCATCCCCATCACCACCTCCTCCATACTACTACACATCCCCTCCACCTCCTTCTCCATCTCCACCACCTCCCTATTACTATAAATCACCTCCACCACCATCTCCATCACCGCCACCTCCTTACTATTACAAATCTCCTCCACCACCATCCCCATCACCACCACCTCCATACTACTACAAATCACCACCACCACCATCTCCATCACCACCACCTCCATACTACTACAAATCCCCGCCACCACCATCCCCATCACCACCACCTCCATACTACTACAAATCCCCTCCACCTCCCTCTCCATCTCCACCACCTCCCTATTACTATAAATCACCTCCACCACCATCTCCATCACCACCACCTCCTTACTATTACAAATCTCCTCCACCACCATCCCCATCACCACCACCTCCATACTACTACAAATCCCCACCACCACCATCCCCATCACCACCTCCTCCATACTACTACACATCCCCTCCACCTCCTTCTCCATCTCCACCACCTCCCTATTACTATAAATCACCTCCACCACCATCTCCATCACCGCCACCTCCTTACTATTACAAATCTCCTCCACCACCATCCCCATCACCACCACCTCCATACTACTACAAATCACCACCACCACCATCTCCATCACCACCACCTCCATACTACTACAAATCCCCGCCACCACCATCCCCATCACCACCACCTCCATACTACTACAAATCCCCTCCACCTCCCTCTCCATCTCCACCACCTCCCTATTACTATAAATCACCTCCACCACCATCTCCATCACCGCCACCTCCTTACTATTACAAATCTCCTCCACCACCATCCCCATCACCACCACCTCCATACTACTACAAATCCCCACCGCCACCATCCCCATCACCACCTCCTCCATACTACTACACATCCCCTCCACCTCCTTCTCCATCTCCACCACCTCCCTATTACTATAAATCACCTCCACCACCATCTCCATCACCGCCACCTCCTTACTATTACAAATCTCCTCCACCACCATCCCCATCACCACCACCTCCATACTACTACAAATCACCACCACCACCATCTCCATCACCACCACCTCCATACTACTACAAATCCCCGCCACCACCATCCCCATCACCACCACCTCCATACTACTACAAATCCCCTCCACCTCCCTCTCCATCTCCACCACCTCCCTATTACTATAGATCACCCCCACCACCATCTCCATCACCGCCACCTCCTTACCATTACAAATCCCCTCCCCCACCATCCCCATCACCACCCCCTCCTTATTACTATCAAAGTCCTCCTCCACCAGTAAAATCGCCTCCACCTCCAGCTTACACCTATGCTTCCCCACCTCCACCTATCTACAAATAAGTTGCGAATGCGAAAGCACCACTCATGATAAATCACGTAAGTTTACGATCCTTTCTTCCTTACACTCAGAAAGAAATAAAAAAAATCATTACCGGTATATGCATAAATTTTTGTAATAAAAGTTACTATTTAATTTCTTACAGATTCTTGTTTTCATTGAGGAATAAAGACAATCTCCATTTAGAGCCAAGTGATCTACCTTCCTATTTAAGTTTTTTGAATAAAAGTCTGAAGTTGTGTGTCATCTCTGCACTTCTATACTCGTGATTCAGACCCGATTGATTCTATCTGTTTGACGGTCGTCTTGCACGTTCCAATCTTGTTGTGTTTAAATGCCTCACAGCTCAGAACAAGAGAAATTTGAAATGTAAATGACAAGTGAAAGTGAAAAATATAGTACACTTTTAATTTATTTGTTCCTAGATTAATTGGCCATGTACGATTGGTTTTCATCTATGCGGCATTTCTGTATTGTACCATGTCGTATTTGTGATAACAGTACTATTACATTAGAAATAAAGCATTTAAGCATCGCATTCAGCTTTTCTCTTCCCAACTGCTAGTACTAATGGTTACCAAAGTTTCAAATAGCTCCACTGTTTGAGAGTCTTCTAAACATTCTGGATAGCAAAAAATAAATCTGCTGATAAAATTTTTAGTTATTTTCAAATTAACTCAAACAAATAAAAAGTGAAAAACATTGATTTCGTTACTAATTACTATCAGAGTGTCCAACTACATCTTAAATTTTAGCTATTCCAATAAATAAAATGCGCAACAATAACTAAATCACAACAGTAGCAGTGAACTGCGCATAAACTTTATCTATAACACTTACGTAGTTTTCTGTAGTCTTGGAGATCACAGACATATAATAGTGTTGTTCTAACCATATCTCATTGAATCTACTGTTGTTACTTTTCTTCTCTAATACAGTTTCTGAACTCTTTCTTCTCTAGGGCTCCATATTTCGTGTTCTTCCAGTATACCTATTCCTATAACTATTTCTTTTCATATCAAATTTGTCTGATAAGAACTGCATGGAATTGAAGGAAAGGGATTCATGCACTACAAGAAAATTTGGTTTTAGAAACCAAATTATTAGTCTCTAAAATGATCAAATTAGTCACTAATTCAAGTTGAGACCAATTTAGATTCTAATAGTCATAAGTAGCTAAACTTTGGTAGCTAATGCTAGACACCAATTTAGCTTCTAATTTAGAAACTAATTTTGTGACCAAATAGAAACTAATTTAGCAACTAATTGCATAGAAATTAATTTAGCAACCAATTATATCAAAACTATTTTAGCAAGCAAATATATAAAAACCAATTTAGCAACCAAATATATAAAGATCAAAAGATGGTCACTATATTGGTCTCTAAATAATGATAATTTGTTTTAAAATATTTTCTTGTTATTTTATCTACCTAATCTTTCATATTTTTTATTTATTTCTAAATTTAATTTCAACAATTTTAAAATAAATTATCAATAACTAAAATTTACTTTTTACTATAATTTAAATTATTCATTACAAATTCAAATTTAAATATTTTAATTTAATTTTCACCACTATGATCAATTTCGTATCACAAATCACTTTCAGCGAGTAACATGAACAAATTATTCCACAATGTTAATTACTGTAAATTATCAACAAATTAAATGATATTCATTATCTGACTACCGTCGGTTATCTAAACGATAATATATCTGGAATTATTGACTTTAAAAGTGCATTTGCTTCTGTCTCACGTCTGCTAGACGCTATAATTAATAGCTTCGCATAATAGGTACATTGTGACATGATTTTCTCCAGAATTAGTTTTTAAAAACATGCTTGTCTAGTTTAGAATTCACTTCCCAATTTAGGGAAGGACCAGCAGAGTGCTTCCTATGAACCAATCAAGACCTGTTTTCCACAACTGGTGCTATAACATATAACATTCAAACAGAGCAAACCTCACATATATATATGGTAAGGAACGGTAGTAAACAGAGCAAAATACCTGGAAAGGTAGTAAACAGAGCAAAAACGACACTCTTCAAAACACAGCTTGAAATGGTTCAGTCGATGATACAAAATGAGATTTAATAAATCACTTTCACAATATTACCACGAACGCAAATAACGCCTTCCCCCCGAATCTTCCTCCAGTACCTTCACCGATTTGCGCCAATGTGAAATTAAAAGCAATGAATAGGTAATTTGTTATTAAGAAGAGATGTATTGAAGTTAAATGGAAGAGAAAACTGAGAGAAATGTAAGAGAGGAGACAAACCCTAAGACTCAAATGGCAAGCCCTGAGAGCTCTGAGATTGTTTGGTCTTCTTGCAGAATTTGGAAAAAAAAGTAAGCGTGGCATGCAAGAATCTCCGTATCATATATCTCTCCTCAGGTGATTCTCTTTCCACTTACTATTCGTCAGGTTCTTCTATGCAATAAAAAAAAAGTTTATAATTGTATAATGTTTAATTATTAATTATTTCATAAACAAAATCTAGATCTACATAATATATTGACTCAAAATTTAAGTTTCTAGTGGTGTGAAAATTACAAACCAAACAATTAGTTTTTATTGATAAAAAAATTAGTCTCTAAGATAAAAGTGACTAAAAAAACGTTTCCAATTATATGTTAGTGAGTGACTAAAAAAATTATCTTTCAATAAGTAAATAATTTTTACGATTATTAGTTCCAAAAACTTTAATGTCTAATTATATTATACATTTTTATTAATAATATATATTAGTTTAGATAGTAATAACTTTTAATTTATAAAATAGTATGTTTATTTAATGAGTATAATGATTAATCATTTTTAATCAGTATGAATACTTTAACTCATCAAATAAAAAAACAATTTCATTGACATCAATAAAAAAATCCTGACTGACATGATAAAAGAAAAAAAAACGTAGTTTTTGTCATTATTAATTAAAAAAATTACTAACTATTAACATCAATAAAGAAATTTAGCAAACCCATCTTTCAACATAAAAAACAAGTAAGTTGAATTAAGTAAAGTTTTTGTACTTTTTGTTAAATACAATTTAACTTAATTTATTCCTAGATGGGTGTGTCATATGTTATGATTTATTCTAAATTTTCATTTTAAAATATCGGTAAAAAATAAGTTATATTATTTAGTAGTTAAAATATATAATAAAGTAAATGAAATAATAATTATATGGTTATTATTATTATTTAATTATTTCATTCGGATCAAGAAAAGTTCAAAATTAAGCTAAATTAGTTTGAGTTGAATTTAATCCGACTGAAAAAAGTTAACTAAATTTGTTCGTATTAAAGTCATACAATCTAATAAACAACCTTATTAACACTAAAAAGTAAAAGTTAAAACGAACAAACCCTAAAAAAAAGTAAAAAATAAAAACAAAAACAAAGGCTGAGCTTTATTAATTTAATTTAATCTTGAAAAGGAGCCAGGGATCCTTGATCTCTGGCAGAATCGTGTTGTGGTTCCATTGCAGACTGTGGTTCTTATTCTTCCACTTTCAGGTTTAAGCGCCACTCTGTGTCTCTTTGTCGCCGCTGCAGCTGGAACCTCAACTTTTGTTGTCACCAAAAGCAGAATGAGTGGCCGATGGAGGTTTTCCCTCTTCTACGCATTCTTCAGAACCCGACACCCTTTTCGCCAATTCCCAATTGCCCCCTTCACTTCATCGACCCACCCTGCGTGCACCTCGAAGTTCCACTCTTTTTCCTCAATCCCCAGCACCCACTACGCGATTCGGCACAATCCAAGGAGTTTCAGTGGTGGGTCGGCCGAGTTAGACCACACCAAGGAGGTGGACACCATCAACCTTAAGTTTGCCGAGGCGAGGGAAGAGATAGAGATGGCGTTGGAGTCCAAAGACACCGTTTATTTCAACGAGGAAGCCGAGTGTGCACGCGACGCCGTCAATGAGGTTTTGGGCATGTTCGAGAAGTTGTTGGCCAAGTTGCCGGAGAAAGAAAGAGGGGCTTTGCAGAGGTCTATGGGTCTCAAGATTGAACAATTGAAGGCTGAAGTTGCACAATTGGATGAGTAAGATTTTGGTATTTGATGGTTGTGACTTGTGCCCAACATTTTTTAACCATGAGTGGCTAGTTGAATATTTTTAAGGTGTTTCATTGGCTGTAGTTTTGAATAATGAACGCATTGGAAGCCAAGCCAACGGTTCATCACTTATTTGCGAGGACTGACTATTGTTGTTCTTTTCATTTAAAGGCATGTTCGTTTTGTGATACAAACTATTGGATTTTTGTGATAGTGCCAGGAAACTAGTTTATTGAGGTGCTTATAAGATATTAGGAACCTGCAACTAACAATCAATAAACTTATTTTAGTAATGATAATAACTCTTGCTGTTGTTTGCACTTCTCTCATCCTCTGCGAGATACTTGTTGTTCTGTTTATTTTAGCTGTGGGATGAAAATTTGGATACTCTGCTTCCAATTTAGAACATATCGGTATTTTATATTTTGTACCATTCTAATGTAATTTTTTAACAATTTTAGAAAATGGGAAATTACATATTACTACTAATAAATAGCCAAACATTTTTCAAGCCTAAAGACTTCAATTCACACTTCCACTTGTAGCTGTTGAGTTTGTTGCTGCATAACTGATTCAATGTGATGATTAACATATTTAAGTCTATAGACTGTGGAAGTGCACGAATTGTCTTTATTTACAAAAATTGTTAGGATGGTTCTATTCTTTTAGGCATAGCTTAACTTATAGACATCTCTGCACTCTTTATAAGGTTTAGTTAGTCCCATAATATTATGATACAGAAAGACAGGTGTGACTAACATGAAATCTTAATCTCGCTTGAGTTGACATTCCCTGAAGCAATAAAGTGAATAAACCTCAGCTGCTTACTACAGATAGGCTTTATGGCCAAAGGTGTTCTTGTATCTGATTTCGGTTGATTTTGGCAATACTAGTTCAACTGACTTAAATTATGGATTATTAGTGGTTGTCAACTTTTTTCTTTAGCGTAATTTCATGTGTTTGGTGTCGGTTCTTACATACAAAACACAAATACGTGTGTGTAAATATATATAGTAATAATTATCATTTTCCTTCTTTTAAAGATACAATAATTCTAATTGTGTGGTTTTTTACATAAAGACTAATTGAGTGTCCATGTGCTTGTCATTCCTACATTTTTTAACAATGTTAATAGCTGAACATGGAAAATACGTGTAACATGGAAACAATAATTTGTAATTTTGGAGTCTTACTCCCAAGTTTGGTCCTTTCTGAAGACCCATTAAGAAACCATTTGTCCTGCCGTATGGTCTGTCTTAGATAATAATTCTAGGTTGTTCTACGGTTAATATATAAGAGGAAAGCTTGTAGTAGCAAATGGAAAATATAATAACGAATATACTTGTGTCATTCAAAAGATTGTGAATTCGGTAATGACCAAGTGATGCTAATATGAAATGACAAGGTGAAATTTTAGAACTAAAGATATTTCTTTTAAACTACAGTTAGGAGGAAATATTATTGTAAGGATTCTCGAATCAGAAAATTTAGAGGAGGTTTCCGTGATCATCGCAGTTCCACTGATAGAGAATGAAGGTATAAAAATTGGAAAGTAATCCTTGTGTTAGCTCCTGTAAGAATCCATTTTCTTAAATCAGTATTGTTCTATACAGTTACCTTATGGTCAAAGAATCAAGGAACAAATGTTAAAGACTTCAGACATGGTATTACGCATAATTATGAGATGCCAACTTCTTGATAAGTTCAAGATTAGCAGGGAAAATTATCGCAACATGAAAATTGACACATAGTCCCAAGCTCGTGAATGAAAACATTTTTGAAGGACCTGGATTAAATTTCAACAATCACGGGCAAAATTCAGGACCATATTACTTCTTTTTTGTAAAAGACAAAGGTTACATTATTGATGAGGAATACAATGGATACTCAACCAAATACAGTCTTACAGAACAATCCAAAGAAACCAGCTGAGACACAATTTGCAATAACAGTGTTGTAGTGAAAGAAAACAGAAAAAGAAATCTAAAATAACACTTTTTACTGTTGACAAAATTTGCTATCATACAAAAAAGATGGAGGTCCTTGGAGGGATGAATGCAATGAGAATTAAGGGAGATTCAGAGAGGAAACTGACGAGCATGACGATTCTGCCTTTTGACGAACATTGTCTGACAAATGAACGCGCAATGTAGTGTGTCTGATAAGACATGGAAGAAGGAGGGGAAAGCAAGACTTTGTTTCCTTTTGTCTCCTTACACGCTGTTATCTTGGCCCCCACACCTAAGCCTCTCCATATGGGTCCTGCCTCTGTAATGACCCTAAAAGTCGATTCTCCAAAGTAAAAAATAAGGCTTCTATTATTCTACTTCCTACTTCATGATCTGATAACCATTCCAACTCCAAGATGTCTCGAGCCATTGAAGGCCTTTGCGTCTCGTCCATGATAAATATCAAGACCCGTCTCGTCTTACATTCAGAAAACTTTACAGTCATCACTTGTTCACCATTGGAATAGTACTTCGTTAAAGAAAATAATTGAATGAAATTCAGCAAATGCGATGACAAGATGTGTAAACTTAAAAAAATCAGTTCTTTCATTATTGAAGCTTTAATTTTCTCTGCAGAAAAGCATGCCCTTTGTCTGTAGCCATTATTATTGCTCAAGAAATTTCTGAGCCAATGGGACCTAAGGTTCCGAATTTTCCTATTAGGTCACCTCACACCTTTCGGCTCTCTCTGGTCTCTTGTACCCTTTTGTTGATGCGAAAACTAATGTCGCCAAAGAAATTATTTATGTAGAATCAGAATCAGATCTAAAATATTTTTTAAAATAAATGATTAAGTGCGTGTTTAAGCTTCGATGTGGGAGACTTGGAATTGGAAGCGACATAGACATATCAAAGTGGAGGCAGATAAATTCAGTCAAGTTTTAAGTGCTTGATTTCTATGTCTACAAGAACTTGAGACAGTGCTCAATGAAAACGGGCCTATTTGCCGNCCACAATGTTAATTACTGTAAATTATCAACAAATTAAATGATATTCATTATCTGACTACCGTCGGTTATCTAAACGATAATATATCTGGAATTATTGACTTTAAAAGTGCATTTGCTTCTGTCTCACGTCTGCTAGACGCTATAATTAATAGCTTCGCATAATAGGTACATTGTGACATGATTTTCTCCAGAATTAGTTTTTAAAAACATGCTTGTCTAGTTTAGAATTCACTTCCCAATTTAGGGAAGGACCAGCAGAGTGCTTCCTATGAACCAATCAAGACCTGTTTTCCACAACTGGTGCTATAACATATAACATTCAAACAGAGCAAACCTCACATATATATATGGTAAGGAACGGTAGTAAACAGAGCAAAATACCTGGAAAGGTAGTAAACAGAGCAAAAACGACACTCTTCAAAACACAGCTTGAAATGGTTCAGTCGATGATACAAAATGAGATTTAATAAATCACTTTCACAATATTACCACGAACGCAAATAACGCCTTCCCCCCGAATCTTCCTCCAGTACCTTCACCGATTTGCGCCAATGTGAAATTAAAAGCAATGAATAGGTAATTTGTTATTAAGAAGAGATGTATTGAAGTTAAATGGAAGAGAAAACTGAGAGAAATGTAAGAGAGGAGACAAACCCTAAGACTCAAATGGCAAGCCCTGAGAGCTCTGAGATTGTTTGGTCTTCTTGCAGAATTTGGAAAAAAAAGTAAGCGTGGCATGCAAGAATCTCCGTATCATATATCTCTCCTCAGGTGATTCTCTTTCCACTTACTATTCGTCAGGTTCTTCTATGCAATAAAAAAAAAGTTTATAATTGTATAATGTTTAATTATTAATTATTTCATAAACAAAATCTAGATCTACATAATATATTGACTCAAAATTTAAGTTTCTAGTGGTGTGAAAATTACAAACCAAACAATTAGTTTTTATTGATAAAAAAATTAGTCTCTAAGATAAAAGTGACTAAAAAAACGTTTCCAATTATATGTTAGTGAGTGACTAAAAAAATTATCTTTCAATAAGTAAATAATTTTTACGATTATTAGTTCCAAAAACTTTAATGTCTAATTATATTATACATTTTTATTAATAATATATATTAGTTTAGATAGTAATAACTTTTAATTTATAAAATAGTATGTTTATTTAATGAGTATAATGATTAATCATTTTTAATCAGTATGAATACTTTAACTCATCAAATAAAAAAACAATTTCATTGACATCAATAAAAAAATCCTGACTGACATGATAAAAGAAAAAAAAACGTAGTTTTTGTCATTATTAATTAAAAAAATTACTAACTATTAACATCAATAAAGAAATTTAGCAAACCCATCTTTCAACATAAAAAACAAGTAAGTTGAATTAAGTAAAGTTTTTGTACTTTTTGTTAAATACAATTTAACTTAATTTATTCCTAGATGGGTGTGTCATATGTTATGATTTATTCTAAATTTTCATTTTAAAATATCGGTAAAAAATAAGTTATATTATTTAGTAGTTAAAATATATAATAAAGTAAATGAAATAATAATTATATGGTTATTATTATTATTTAATTATTTCATTCGGATCAAGAAAAGTTCAAAATTAAGCTAAATTAGTTTGAGTTGAATTTAATCCGACTGAAAAAAGTTAACTAAATTTGTTCGTATTAAAGTCATACAATCTAATAAACAACCTTATTAACACTAAAAAGTAAAAGTTAAAACGAACAAACCCTAAAAAAAAGTAAAAAATAAAAACAAAAACAAAGGCTGAGCTTTATTAATTTAATTTAATCTTGAAAAGGAGCCAGGGATCCTTGATCTCTGGCAGAATCGTGTTGTGGTTCCATTGCAGACTGTGGTTCTTATTCTTCCACTTTCAGGTTTAAGCGCCACTCTGTGTCTCTTTGTCGCCGCTGCAGCTGGAACCTCAACTTTTGTTGTCACCAAAAGCAGAATGAGTGGCCGATGGAGGTTTTCCCTCTTCTACGCATTCTTCAGAACCCGACACCCTTTTCGCCAATTCCCAATTGCCCCCTTCACTTCATCGACCCACCCTGCGTGCACCTCGAAGTTCCACTCTTTTTCCTCAATCCCCAGCACCCACTACGCGATTCGGCACAATCCAAGGAGTTTCAGTGGTGGGTCGGCCGAGTTAGACCACACCAAGGAGGTGGACACCATCAACCTTAAGTTTGCCGAGGCGAGGGAAGAGATAGAGATGGCGTTGGAGTCCAAAGACACCGTTTATTTCAACGAGGAAGCCGAGTGTGCACGCGACGCCGTCAATGAGGTTTTGGGCATGTTCGAGAAGTTGTTGGCCAAGTTGCC